CGATTGCGATAAGGCACATAAAAACATTAATATATCATTATTCAGCTATCAAGTTTTCACTTATTATTGTTATCGTTATTATCGTTATAATAATAATTATTATTATCATTACTGTTATTATTACTGCTATTATTATTAGTAGTATTATTATTATTGTTATTATTATTATTATCAATTATCATTATTATCAATATTATAATTGCATTGTACTTACTGATTGTGAGTCCTTTAATTATTTTTATCGCCGTTACCATAAAAATTATGACTATTATTATTATTATCATTTACACCGTTATGATCACAGTTATCATCATTTCCATTGGTGTTGTTGTGATGAGCTTGATTATGTGATTGGTAATTTAGATCAAACATTCAGGTTTTGAACGAGTGTTTGATTGAATCGATGGCAAGCAACCACAAACTTTCAGTGAGCAAAGATTGCTACCGAAAAAACGTGATGAAAGCACATCGATTTCGCAAGAAAGTGAAATGCGGTTACAGACTTGAAAATGATTCATTAGAGCGAATTTAATTCCGACTCCAGAACGCCCTCTCAAGCAGTGCGAACAAACGAATAAAGAAGAACACGCGTCAATAGTCGAGCACTGATATTAACGTATGCAAATGAGTCTATTCATGATAATCCGACGACAGTGGATTGTCAGTGAGAAAAATGGAACAAAGAAAATGCAATGAACTTATATTTTGGCTAAATTTAAATGATTCTATGATGAGATCAAAAATGAATCATCGCTTTTCTCAAATACTGATAGCCTTCATGACATTTACGTTGAACATCGAAAGACACCTAACTGTCCCAAAGGAAAATCATGACAATACGACAATGAAGTTTCAAGGAGGGAACGTGAAGTGCGCATATTTTTGCAACAAGATTGAAGATGAGACTGCTCGAAGGAAAAGATTATGAATGGAGAAAAATTTTTTTGGGGAATTAATCTTAGTAATGTGATGAATGAGCACGAATTCATTGTAGTATATCATTCATAATTTATATCGGTTCACATGCAACAAATAATAATAACCTTGCTGGCATCAGCGCAAGCACTATAACCAATAGTAAACTTTTGATTACCATTCACATGACAGCATCTTTAAATCTTCATTATCATGTTCCACGTAGCAACGAGCGATTTCGAATCGCAGCTTTCCGTGTCATCGAGCAGTTGAGTCCGTCGCGATTGAACACTTATGTAAAATAACATGGAGAATATAACAGTTCCAATAACATTCGGTCATAGATATCATCAGCTAATTTATTCCCCAATGCTTTATCTAATCGTAGTTTCATTCACACGTGCATTTCCGATAATTTTACATTACTGGCTCTTTGATGGTCGTATTTCATAACTACCTTGCTATTCGACATCGATGGGGTGTTTGCTTTCAAGCGAGGATGGCAACGAAACTGGACGTTATCATACGCTGAACTGTTCATAACATAATTAAACACTTTGAACAGAGGAAAGTACAGCGCAATCAGAGAACGCCGTTAATTGATGAGACAACTGAAAACTTCCGTATCTCATTAATTAAATTTTTCATGCGATCAATACACTTCTCCAATGGGTGTTTCTCCTCACCAAATTCATAAATACATAAATCAGTTGACTATTTTTAGCATCACTAATGTTTCATTTTAACACATTCATAAAACATTTTGATGAATTTTCTTCAATACTCAATTCTGAATCAACACTGTACGATGTCTCATTTTGTCACCAACTTATTTTTCAGTTTATTTTTTTCATACCATTTGTTGCTTAAGGACGACTATTCCTTGCAATATTTCTATCATTCATAAGACTGCTCATTGTTGCTTTATTCCTGCAAATATTCTCGTGCAAATATTCTCATTTGATCTGTGATGTGGTAAAAACTAATCATTTTATCAGAATGCTTTCAAATCGTTGCATCAAATACAATACATTTGCCGAAGCGATAATCGCATCGAATTTGTAGTTAAAAGGATACGCTAATAATTATCACCATCGTTCGAGATATTGTTCCGCTTGGGGGATGAATTTTCACCTAAGGGATCTCATTAGAAAAGGATTGTCATTGGTGGAGGTGCAAATCGCTCTCAAAGGCACTCTTCGACGTTCAGTTCGATGGAAATTTTATCTGATTGCTTCGTTCAAATGTGAGGAAAGTATGAAAGCGTTTCCAAATCAGATGTATGAATGATCA